ACAATAGCTGGGCCAATTTATGGCTCTGTCTAGAGTGAGGCTGAAGCACGGCGGTTCGAGAATGATCCAAAATCTAATCTAAAGCTAGGTTAGAGTCACCAGCCAGAATGACATTGCCTTCGAATTCGCTAGCCATAGAGTTCAATAGGGAATGGAAAAATTCCACCTGGTTGGTATTTGGAGTGTAGTAAATTAAAAAAGTAATCAAGTGTCCCCTCAGGTGACCTTTCACGAGAAGATACCGTCCCTCCTTGTCCCGGATAACTTTAGATTCGGTAAAGGAAAGACGGCGAGATAAGCAAAGGGCAACCCCCCCGTTTCTTCTCTGAGGCATTAGCAAAATAACACACAGGATAATCTTTATGTACGTATCGTGGAGTAAATGAAGGTGGGAAATGTGTCTCCTGCAGGGCAACTATGTCCGCCCCAAAAGAGCTGTATGAATTAAAGGCCTTTATGCGTTTGGAGGGGGGGAGTTGAGCCCCTGAACGTTATGAGAAAGTAGACGGATCGTTCCGCTATGAGACCGTAGGGAAGACATAATCGGCAATTAAAAAACTATATAGAATGGGACCCTCCGCACCTGGAGCATAAAAAGGGTCCAAAGGATCCAGATTCGCTGACGGCTGACCCTGGGAGAGAAAAAAAAAAAAAGGGGGGGGGGGAAGAGGGAGGACAATAAAGAAAGGAGAGGAAGGAAAAAAGAAGGAAGAAGAGACATTTGGAATAGAGAAATCCTCATGTCAAGCAACCGAAGGTGATATACAAACTTTTGTAACATAGGCAAATCAAACTTCACACCCGTAACAGCAGAGCAATAGCCCTGCAAAGGAAAAGGTCTGACCGGAGAAAACAACTCAGGGAAGAGTCTTCCAATCAGGGAGGGCACATAGACACTCCCCGGAACCGACAACAACGCACCAATAACATAACAATTACTAGTTAAGAATGCAATCGATCCCTCTGATAAAGAAATCAGCATGTAGATAAGAGGTAACCCCAGAGCCCCTCCCCCCACCAAACCTCCCACAACAGCAGAAAAGTAGAGGCCAATGTTCCCAAGGAACCACTGAGAGGCCACCACCTAACCGTGGAAGAAAAGAAAAAAAAAAAAAAACACCCAAGGAGTCCCATGAAAACCTGTAAAAACTTAGGAAGTGTGCTTGGGTGATTTCCGCAGCCCGGTCTTTCGGGGATTTGAAGCAGTCCACAAAGGTGAAAGCGACTGAGGTCGAGAAGCCGATCTTGCTGGGGAGTGAGATGTAGGACTCTGAGATATAATGCCCAATTGAAGTAACAATTGCTCGCCATCCTGGAATGTGGAGAACCCTTAAGGCTTTCCATTAAGATTGAATTGTAGGCGAAAAGGAAAGGCCCAGCGATACCGGATACCCTTCTGCATCAAATGGGAAAGTAGAGGCTTAAAGGATCGCCGTTTCTGGGTGGTAGTCAGAGAAACATCAGTGAAAATTTGTATCTTATGACCTTCAAAATCCAGATCCGGAGTCTCTCTGCTATACTTCATTACCGCTTCCTTGACCTGGAAAAAATGAGGCTTTACGATGATATCTCTAGGAGGCCCGCCTTGTCTAGGGGGAATCAGTGCTCTGTGGATACGATCGATTTCAGTATGGAGATCGATATCGGGTATTGAAGACCGCATATGTAAAGTATTTAAAAGAAATGTTGTACTTGGTTCTCCTAGATTGTAAGCTCCAAGGAGCAGGGCCCTCCTAACCCTCTTGTATTGAACTGTATTGATGCTGTATTGTCTCCCTTTATATTGTAAAGCACTGAGCAAACTGCTGGCGCTATATAAATCCTGTATAATAATAATATAATAATCAATTACTTAGCTGTCTTTTGCTTCATTCAGTGACCAAGAAAAAGGCATGAAAAAAGTGAAGTCAGAACACCAAATCTGCCTACTTGTGCTGGGTGAGTGACTAAGGAAGTACTGAATCCAATTGTTCAATATGACAGTTAAATAATTACCATTTTCAGAAACAGAGGTTAGCATCGGCTACACATAAAAACTATATTTATAGTTTTCCATAAATCAGTGGTTCTTAATCTTTTTTGAGTCACGGACCCCTTTAGGAATCTTATGAAAGGTATGGACCCCTTCCCCAGAACTATTCATATAAACACAACTTTGTATGCAATGAATACATGTACTTTATCTCGTTGAAAGATGATTGTCTCATATAGATATGACATACACAAAGATTGAATAAAGTAAACAATCTTAACAAAAAACTCACTTTTTTTCATGCAAAAAGTAATGGCCACTCATTACAAAAATTCAAAACAATCATCTACTGCAAATTAAAGAAAACCACTTTAATTCTTTCCAACCTACGACTACTACTACTACTAGAAAAAAAGAGAATTAGCACTTGCTATTATGGAGTGGCACAAGATGGCATTTGTGCAGAGAACGATACAAATTTAAATGGTAAATATAGGCCAACAACGAGTTGACGCTTAGCGGTCAGCAATATAAGCAGTGGAAGGATGCCTTTTCATTCATATCTTCAGTAGGAAACCATTGATTGGGACAAGGGGGGAGGGGGGCTGTATAGTGAATGTAAATTATAGTTTTTATCTAACCCTCACAGACCCCCTGAAACTCACCTATGGACCAGTTAGGGAGACCCCAGGTTAACCTCCCTGGCGGTATTCCCGAGTGTAGCTCGGGGTAAAGTTTCTGTACCAAAAGCGGTAACCCCGAGCTACACTCGGGCTTACCATGCGGCGCTGCATAGGGAGTCCCTCCAGCACTTACCTTGTCCTTCGCTCCCGCGATGTGTCCCCTGCAGCTTCCCTGGCCATCTCCTCCGGCTGATGCCGGCATCCGGCTTCTGTGTTCCGGTCCCTGTGACATCGGGATGTACGGGCGCCGGCGGGAAATTTGAAAATTTAAAAAAAAAATTCATTTTTTTCAAAACGAATTTTACATAGTAAAACATTGCTGTTTCAAACCATTTCACATACATTTTGTCCCTAGTGCTTTGTCCTGTCCCCTGTCTGCATTTTGACTGTTCTTTCTGCCTGGAAACTTAGGAAAGTCCATGGCGTCCAAAAAGCGTCCCTTTAGGTCAAAAGCAGTTTTAGACCGGCTAGAGAACAGCGATAGTAAATCAGAACCACTTGCAGAATTGAGTGATAATGATTTGTGGGGAAATTCGTCTTCATCGGACACTGAAAACAATTTTGCGACTTTGCTCAGTGATGTGCGAACTTGGCGCTATATTTCAAATTTCAGTGTTTTTGGTTTGATTATATTATTGAATTAAATGTATTATTATTTTTTATGATTATTTATTAAATTATAATTTATGATTTTGTGTTCCAAATATTATCATACCCGGGATGTTTAATAGACTCTTGTTCAGACAGATTTCAGTGAGTTATTCCTAAATATTACAGCCTACAATAAAAAAACTACATATTTCCATGCAAAATAATGGTACCGCCTTCAGCACCAAAAATCTGAAATAATCATACCGCTAGGGAGGTTAAGAACCCCTGCCTTAAACCTTTGAAGGGTCTACTGGGGTTGCTACTGATCAATGAACGAAATTAGAGGCCAAAAAAAGCTTTTCTCAATGGGCAGATAAAGATTTGTATTTTCCTATATTATTGTGTACTACCTTAGCTGACTTTTCTCCATTTGCCTTACCATTTTCGTTATACTTTCAAACATACAGCTCTCAACATGCAGTTTTCTTGAGCCTGACAACATCACACAATGACACTCTCAAAGGTTGCAAATGGCCTCACTATGGCTGGTCTATTCTGTTTAATTCTCTTTTTTTCTGTTACGAGATGCTGTGCATCTCTACAATACATCCATATTTTCCCAACTTTTATCCATTTAAAGACCATGCAAGTACAGAAAAATATCTGTTGATCTGCCATTAGTGCACTTAAGCTCTTAAGCACTTAAGCTCTAAACACCCATCTACTCTCTACTTTCCACACAAAAAAGGCTAATCATTCTGTAGTCTCAAAATATGAACTAGGGGAAGTAATTACTCCCCTTGAAACAAAACAATTGGGTTGATCTAATAAAGGCAGTAGGCTGTTCAAGCGAATTTTTCCTTAGCTTAACTACTTACCCTCCAAAGGATTTACCTCCCCTTCCTGACCAAGCCATCTTTTGTGATACGGCACTGCGTTACTTTAACTGACAATTGCGTGGTCATGCAACGCGGTACATTAATTAAATGTATGTCCTTTTTTCCCACAAATAGAACTTTCTTTTGGTGGTTTTTAATCACCTCTGCGGTTTTTTATTTTTTGCACTATAAACAAAAAAAAACAGACATTTTTAAAAAAAAACAATAGTTTTGACTTTTTGCTATAAAACATATCCAGTAAAAAAAAATAAAATGTCTTCATAAATTTATGCCAAAATCTATTCTGCTACATGTCTTTGCTACAAAAAAAAAATCCCAATATGTGTAAATTAATTGGTTTACGTGAACGTTATACAAATGGCGGTATATATACTGGAATTTTTTTTTCATACTAAGGTAATGGTGGCGATCAGCAACTTATAGTGGGACTGCGGCGGGCATTCTGACACTGGGGGGGACCTGATTAACTGCCACTGACATCCCAATGACACTAATGCAGTGACACTGGGCAGGAAGGGGTTAACATCTGGGGTGACCAAAGGCTTAACTGTGTGCTGTGTTACTGTGTGCTGTGTGTGTTTTACTAGGGAAACATACTGCTGTGTATTTCTCTGCTGTGCACAGCATACACAGCAGCATGTTCCTGCTGGCAGGAGAGAGACCTGTGCTGTTTACACACAGGTCTCTCTCCTGTCAGTGATGCTTGACGATCGGCACTTGCCAGCAGGGAATCTCCAGCCAGGACCCAGTGATCGACATCTGTAGCTGCCAATGGCATGACCCCTATTTGGAAATGCAAAATCATGTATATGTATATATTTATATATATATGGTAGGGAAGTGGTTAAAGTGTTACTAAACCCACAACAGTAAAATCAGTCTGTATATGCAGTAAAGCATGCTTGTTATACTCACTGTGGAACCTAAGGGGTTAATCCTCTGTATTATGTAAAAAGGATGTTTGATCCTGTCTCCTCTGATTCTCCCCTTCTTCCACAATCTCCAATCTATCTCCTGAAAAAACAGAGCCTTGGGGGCAAGCTACACATTCTCAGTCCGGTGTTTATTGTTAGAGAGTATTTTTTTTTTTCTTGGGAGAGTGCCTGTGATCAGCACAGGGCCAATCAGTGCTATCCAGACACAGGATAAGGGGTCATGCAGCCTCATAGGACAATCAGGGGAGAATGAAAACTCCTCCTACAAGCTTTAACCAGTGCTCTGCTGGACACTGATAGAAGTCACAAGACTACTCTAACTGCCAATGAGAAAAGGTATTTATCAGTTTATATTTACTAAAATAATTGCATTTCCATGTGGTGTGTACTGTGGGAGACGAGATATAGTGATTGCAGGGTCATGGGTTTAGTAATACTTTAAGCCGGATATAGATGATGCGATTTTCTTTCCTACAATCCGTAGTTGCAGGAAGAAAATTGCTCGATTCCCCCATCAACACTGACTGTGGAGCTATTGTGTTCTAACAGCAGGGGGGCACAGAGGGGAAGCCCTACCTACTGAAAGAACACAGTGATTATTGCTAGTGCCTGTAGCTGCTGGCAATAACTGCATGAAAAATCCAACAGGCTGGTTGTTCCCAAGTCATACAACAATCAAATTCAGTACAATCAGCCTACCCATAGATGGTTTGAATCTCAACAGGTTTAGCATCTATGGCTGGCTTTAGTGAATGTGGTGAAAATTCTAACTTTCTGAGTTTTTTTTTTTTTGCAATTGTCAAGCAGATATAACAAAACACATTCAGTGGTATATTTAATAAACCAAAAAGGGAAAAAAATAAAAGAATGCCATTGCTAGGGTTTACATACTCCTAACTTCCAGGGTCACCAAACCGATAGTATTAATTATTTTATAGAGGAACTCTCATCCTTTTTTAACAAAGAAGCAACTGCCCCTAACCCATTACCAGCCAAGCCACTCATAGCTGCTATCCATAGGTGTTGCCAATTTTATCCCTGAAGAGCAACCTGAATTGAGCCAGTCAACAGTCTTTTCTGCGATGGGAGCTAGAATACATTCTATAATTTACTGCATTCTAAATTTTACTGCACGTACTCTCAGCCACTATGAAGTTAGACCAAATGCTCCAACAGAAATGCATTTCAGACTTGGCACTTCACTTCATTCACACACACTCTTAGAAAGAAGGCTTTGAAGGCCAAACACGAGCCAGCCATACCCAAGGCTTGATCGGCACCCACAGCAGCAAGGTAGGTTGATTTCCCCTGTGATAGTAAGTGGAGGCACCTTTTATCACCATGCTACCACTGGAGGTGAGGGGAAGATGCAACCCACTGATACTAGTAGCTAAATATTCACATATTTTCTAAATAAGTAAAAATTTATACAAAAAGGTTAAAAAAAAAAAAAAAAACTTACAAATCATTCATGAGCAGCACAATTTTATCAATCCACTAAATCATGCTTCTGTATAACAGGCACTCTGTATGACAGCTGGAATTAAAATCTTGCTAAAGGAAATGAGTTGCTACGGTGGGAGTTTGCTTGTCAAGGTGTACTAAGTAGATGATGTTTACTAAAATATGGGGCTCATGGTCAGATCAATTTGCGACAGCACAGAGAGTTCAGTAGAGACTCTTACAAGCGTATCAAACATTGGCATTCGTGGTTATAACGCAATGTACAATTTTCTCTGCTGTGATGTACCATTAGGTTACAGACACATGAATGCATGCAAAATCTTTTCAGCTTTGAAACTGTATTTATGTGCACTGAATTTAAATTGAATATGAGCATAAAGGATCGGCATACAGTAATACATACTATGCATTCACCGCCCGAGGATCCTTGAACTGCCAGAGATTAGGGAGAGCCATGCATTTTGCCAGTAGAATTGAATTCCGCCCTACCAGAACATGAAGAGAAGCTCAATACTGATTAATTTAAAATTGCATACATTTAATCAGAAGTCTTCTGCCCTCTGGGTCCCGGAGGACAAATGTATATTTCTTCCAAATTAATAACCATATGGGTTTGTTTCAACCATGGTAAGGAGCCTTTTCATGGCTATCATTCATGTAATATTGGATTTATAACTAATTTGGTGTTAACATTGTTGCAGGTATTTAAAAAAAAAAATCTACTTTTGCTTAAAAGGAATGAAGTAAAATTGTCATACTAGCCAATTTGTAATTGTATGTTCCTAAAGCAGTATTAAGCTCCAGACCAAAAATGTAAAATATTGCAGCTTACCAATCATTAGATGTAGTGGTTACATAGTTAGTCTGGCTGAAACCAAGACAAAAGTCCATCCAGTTCAACCATTAAAAAAAAAAAATTATAATCCTATACCCACAGTTGGAAGGAAGGAAAAAAAAACCACAGCAAAGCACGATCCAATTTGCTCCAGCAGGGGAAAAAATTCCTTCCTGATCCCCTAAGAGGCAATTGGATATTCCCTGGATCAACTTTACCTATAAATATTAGTATCCAGTTATATTCTGTGTATCTAAGAAAGAATCCAGGCCTTTTTTAAAGCAATCCACTAAGCTGGCCAGAACCAACTCTTGAGGGAGTCTGTTCCACATTTTCACACCTCTTACTATGAGGAAACCTTTCCATATTTGGAGATTAAATCTGTTTTCCTCCAGACGTAAAGAGTTCCCCCTTGTCCTCTGATGACCTCAGGGTGAATAACTCCTACACCAAGTTCACTATATGAACCACGGATGTATTTATACATGTTGATCATATCCCCCTTAATCTCCTCTTCTCCAGAGAGAATACATTCAGTTCCTCTAATCTTTCCTCATAGCTGAGCTCCTCCATGCCTCTTATCAGTTTGGTTGCCCTTCTCTGTACTTTCTCCAGTTCTCCAATGTTCTTTTTGTGAATTGGTGCCCAAAACTAAACTGCATATTCCAGTTTCATTAGTTTTCTTTTTTTTAGGCTTTTTCTCTTTGCTTTCACCTGGTGATCTGGCCAGCAACACACCTCCAGTATTAGAGTGCCCCCAATCTGGATGAAGGAGCACAGGGACACATTTGGACAACAGCATTGTCAGTCTGGGGGGATGGGAGCGTTAGCCTGGGTTCACACTGATACGGTGTGGAATTTGCACCGTTTTCTGTGCGAATTACGCTCCACATCATAATCGCACCCCGTTCATGTGAACCACTGCAGATGTGTATGTCAAGTTAACAACACAACGAAATCGGTTCGCAAAATGTGGCGCGATGTGTAGAATCAGATCGCATGGGTGTTAATACCCATGCAATCTGATTCTAATGTGGACAAAAAAAAAAGGGTCCTGCACCTTTTTTGGTGTGGATGTGGTGCGATTTGAGCCATACAAAATGTATGGCTCAAATCGCACAACACAGAATTTGCATGTGGTTTGCACAGAAATGCGGTGTATTCCTGTATGAATCACATGCGATATTATTATGATACAGGATTTATATAGTGCCAGCAGTTTGTGCAGTGCTTTACAAAATGAAGGTAGACATTACAGATACAATACAATTTGGTACAAGAGGAAACAGAGGGCCCGGCCCTTTAGAGCTTACAATCTAGGATATGCCGCACTGCAGAAATTGAAGCCAAACTCCAGCTAACACTTTAGAAGCAGTTACATTTTATTTTCCTTTTGGGATGAAGATTTTACATAAATAAATAAAAGGTGACCATTGTAAGCAGCACTGTCAGTGTTGAAGGGTTTCTCTCATCCCTATAACTGATACATCTGCAGGAGAGTTTATTCTTTTGAAAAACAACAGACTTACTGGCCAGATCACTACATGAAGCAGAAGAAAGAAAGCCTAATAAAGAAAACTAATGCAGCCATCGCATTTATAAATTGGTAAGCTCCGATATAATAAATGTTTGCTTTTGAGTTTAAGTCTTTTCAATGTAATCTCCTGCAGGCTGTGATTTTCGCAACTGCCATAAAATACAAAAGTTGTTTCCTTGCAAACCTGGGACCTAGATATGTTCTGAATACTGTTTATGTACATAACCAGTTCAAAACTACTAATTCATGCTTGTGTGATTGGCTCACTAATTTTCCCAAACGTCTATGCAGAGACTGAAGTCAAATCACGCACAACACGTGGTAGCAGGAAAGAGAATCACATTGTCTATGGCCTGCCTAAATCTTTGGATCTACTGATGGGAATATTATCTGAAGCTAACCCGTGCTTATTCATTTCTCACCGCATGCAAGGTGTGATATGCTCATGACTGTGAGAGGCTCACTTTACAATTATGTCTATAAGAAATGTTCCAGCATATATTCTCCTCTTTTTTCATCTATAGCATGTAAAAGTGGACTTACATTTTTAAGATATACAAAATATTCACTAGAAAAAGGAATTTTATTATAAATAATATCATATAAAATGCATAAGATGACACATTTGAAAATGAATGCTAATGAAGCACAGTTGTTGTATATAACATGTTCGATACAAGTTTTACTTTTCTGCCATGCCCTAGACCAGCCTTTTTCAACTAAGGTGCCATGGCACCTTAGGGTGTTGTCTGGGTTCATCAGTGGTGGTATCAAATTATGACAGTGGCATAACACATAAATGTTGCGTCACAAAAGCGGGCTTTCTTCCATGATATTGCCTATATGTGGTGTGTGTTTGTGCTGGTAGCATGCTCAGTCACACACCCCCAACATGGAGAACATGCTGTAAGTTACAATACCTGATCTCAGGGTAACCAACGACAGATGGTAGGACCAGCTCCTGATCATGTGATTACTGTGATAGCCAATCACACTTAACGCTAGGGATCACCAGAGTTAGAACCCACACCTGTACTGCTTCTCTATGAGGAGATCTATTTACCCCTGGTTCACATATATGTGGCCGTGCGGGCAGCATTTTGCGCGGGCACGAGAGCCCATTCATTTGAATGGACTCCCAAGCCCGTGACACGCAGGGAAGAAGTCCCTGCACTTCTTTGGAAAACACAGCCCACAGAGGAACTTCGGTTCCCAGTACAGTTGTGTTTTCCAGTGCGGGCGGCGTGCCATTAGAACTAATGGCACCTGACTGCAAGTCCGCAGTCCTCTGTGTGGGTGGTGCGGCTGCATGGATTTTCATGCGGATCTACAGTGGCACCACCCGCACAGATGTTAACCTAGCTTTAAACTGCAGTGGCTGGAATCTAAAGCAGCTGTGCATAG